AGCAGAAGTCTCTGGTTCGCCTCTTTTAGCGTGAAATCTTGACTACCTCAGGGCAGCTTTTGGGTTTTCTAGCATTCTATAAGCTCTCTCAATGCCAAGTGGTGTGTCCTCTGGAACGTGTAGGAGGTTCCACAGTAATGTCACAGCCTTTCAAAGTAATGTCACAGCCTTTCACAACATATTGACGCTTTGTGTAATGCAGATTGTGTCTAGTCCTGACTGTTTCTTTACACAGCTGAGTGTTTGACTCTTTTCCTCATGCGTTTATCTCAGCGAACACTGCAGGCTTTTCTTTTCTTTGTATTGGATTGTAACTCATATTTTCTCTTGAAATCTTGGAGTCCTGGCCTGTAGAATTGTCAGGAATTGAATCTCACAACAATAGAGCGAATGCTTCTCAGGTGCACCAAACAGGAACTTCATCCCTGCCATCTCTGAGCTAGCATCAACTAAGTGTACTTCAGTGTACAGGAAGTGTTTTCTTTCACAAATTTTGAACACCATGCGGCTGTTTTCTTCATGACTCCAAAGTCTGTATGTAGATGTCTGATAGAGACCAAAGGTGTTTAATAGGTGCTAAGGATCATTTGAGTGTGAAATTGGTGTGTGATGGAGAACTTAGAGGAGCGTAGCCGGTTCTCACCAGCTGCTGGCCACGTGGTCCCCATCCTGCATACTGTAGAGGAGCATTTCGCACTTCTGGAGGATTCAGAATCCATGTTTCCCTGTGAAGGACACAAACACGTGCTTTTATTTTAATCGTATTCTGTCCTCTGACAGGGATTTCAGTAACGAATAAACCTCAGTGTGTGCTGCTGTTATAATAAAATGGCTGGCGGGATGAAGCGGAACTACTTTTAAGACTTTTTATCTGTTTATAGTAATTTTTAATGTTACTGAAAGTCTGACACAAATTAGTTCCTGTTCTCACTTATAAACCGTCGTTCCCTCACCAGCCTCTCTTTAGTCTCTCTCGTAGTTAAGACACACACACACACACACACAAAAAAAGCAGGTTGTTGCATTACCGAGAAACCGCAAAGAAGCGTAAACTCGTCTGTCCTGAAGATGGCGGTAAAGTTAAAGTTACAAAGTGCTGACACTGGAGACTCCTTCCGTAAACGTTACATAAACATCTTGTTACAGAAAACGTCTCCGTATCAGCGATTACACACGCGTTTCAATCCGTTTCTGTGGAGCGTCTGCTGTACAAGTCCCTGTGAGTGAGCTGTTACTATAGAAACTGCTGTCAACAATAACTGTGGCTGTGGTATGATGTGTGTTAATGCATGTCTGTAAAGGAATATCTTTCAGTTTGTCTAAATGTGGGAATAAAATGTGTTGTGTTGATTTGATACTTATCTTTTATGAGCTTGCATCATGCACATCTGGCTAATGAGGGACCGTTTAAGTGTTTATTAGTTTAAGAGTTAATTAGTGTTTTGCCTGCTATTGCTGTGTGTGTGTGTGTGTGTGTGTGTGTGTGTGTGTGTGTGTGTGTGTGTGTGTGTGTGTTTATACTTACGGGGACTCCAAACTACAAATGATGTAGTATGCAGTGAAAGAGTGCTGAAAAATCTGCAGGAGAGAGAGAGAGAGAGAGAGAGAGAGAGAGAGAGAGAGAGATAATACTTAGTCAGCTCTCCTGTCAAATCAGTTTTAATTTGCTGGGTGAGTGTGAGTGGGCTGATCGATTGGCTGATGGATGGGGGTGTGGTCAGTGGGTGAATTAGTGTGAGGTTGGATTGTGAGGTCAGCTGATCGGTGAGTTGGTTGATCTGTCAGTCGATCAGTGTGTGAGTGGGGTGGTAGATCATTCATTCTGTTGATTGGTGAGTGGATCGGATGGTGGGTCGATGGGTGGGTGAGGGGGTTGATCAGCCAGTTGGGTGATCAGTGTCGGTAGATCGATCAGTAAGCGGGTGAACAGGTTGATGTGTTGGTGAGTTTTGAATGGGTTGATCAGTGAGTGGGTGGATTGTATTGGTGGGGGTGGGGATGGTAGATCATTTGATGGGTGGATTAGTGGTTTGGTTGGGCTTGCAGGTCGATTGGTCTGTGGGAGGGACGTCATTTTGTGAGTGTGTGGATGAATGTGTCAATCGTTTAGTGGCTGAGCAGGATAATCGTCAGTGGATATCTTTGCTCTGTTTCTTCTCATCTAAAAACCTTTAGCACAATCTGTAACACAGGTCCAGGTTCTCACACCTGTCTCTATCATCAGCTGTGACAGAGACACTACAATGCATGCTGGGAACTGAACAGATCTCTAACCCATGTTATATCGAGGAAATGTAAACTGCTGCAGATTAGCATGCTAAACATGCATTTGTTTCTCTAGCGCTTGTACACACACACACACACACACACACACACACACACACAAACACACAACACACACAAACACACACACAAACAGGTGAAAGGGAGAAGAGAGGAGAGGAGAGGGTCACTGGGACAGAAAGGTAAACAACAAGAGAGAGAAAGAAAGAAAAATCCTCTGTGAAGGACAAGCGGGTGTGTGACAGAGTTGCAGAGAGAGTGGTGTGTGTGTGTGTGTGTGTGTGTGTAATGACAGTTAGGGGACAGAGCTGTCATCCATCAAGCGATGTTGCGACGGACATGGAATAAGAAACTAGTTCACACATTTTCCCCCTCACCCCCTCTGTCCCTGCACAGTGTTTGTGTGTGTGTGTGCGTGTGTGTGTGTGTGTGTGTGTGTGTGTGTGTGTGTGCGTATCTTACCGGCTGCACATTGTAAGCAAGCAGCACATGCTTCATGTCTGGAGAAAGTGCGTAGTCACTGGCCTTATTCATTTCCTGTGAAGTAGAAATAAAGGAGAGATGACAGATGTGTCCCAGCATTTCTCATTCTCATTTCTGTGCTGCAGTCTGCATGTGGGTCTTTCAGGGGTGTGTTCATAGCTGCAGAATCATGAGTGTGGAAAACATAGTGTTCAATTTAACCGAACGCAGAATGAAAAGTAAAACAATAACATGTACAGTGTGCAGTGATTAATGTGAGCATTACACAAAGGACTGTTCTGCAGCTGTACTGTATATTGGCCGTACACTAGACTCCTAGTAGAGTTACAATATTTCAATGCTTTTCATTTTCTCATTTATATATCAGTAGATTATATTCTTTTTCTTGATTTGGTCTTACATCATATTACATTTAACAGCAAAGGGGGAAAAAAAAAACACATTATTGTCCTTATTCAGTCTACATTTTCTATCCCTAAAATGTTTCAGGTTTAAAGTTGTTGGTCGAGACGTCCCTGTTTCAGACGCTTCTATTCAAGAAAAAACAAATCGGCCAAAGAGGTATGAACGACACACATCTGATTTTAATAACCTGAACGTGGAGCTTAGAAACTGGACCCAAGCATCCGCGTAACCCGACTCTGAATACCAGGAACTTTCCTCACGTTAATATCGACATAAGTCACCAACTTTAGTGTGTGTTAATTACTGTTTAAAAAGAGAGATTTAGGAGATGCTTACAAACTTCCTGTTGGGCACCAACACTGTACTTTCATTCGTCTCCATGTTGAACTTGACCACATCACCTTCACGAGTGCGATACAGGAGCTCCTTACCTACAGAGGGAAAGACCCGGACACGACCGTGAAACATTACGAACCACAACCATAAATAAACTGGAACTACAGAGGAAATATACTGAGAGAAATCACCTTAAAGTACTGTTCTTACGCAAAGATTTTACTGAAGCTTTTCTTTTCATTTTTTCAGAATAGGAAATATTTGCACCCCCAAGCTAGAGCGGGTAAGGCGGAAATTAACATCAGTGACAAAACAGAATCAGAACCAGAATAGACAAGCCAATGGACCGGCTTGGTTACAGACAGAGACTATAGCAACTGATCGTACTACTTCATGAAGAATTAGTGAATGAGTAGCCTCTTTATTGTGTGGTGTGATTGTGAGTGTAATTGGGAACCGGTGTGTCTGATTAGTCCTCAGGAGAAGGTGACGTGTCTGTGTGTAGATTGGGAGTTTGGGAGTTGTCGGACATGTTTGTAGTTTCTCGTGCATTCTAGGAAACGGAGTCGTTAGTTTGCCGTGACATGGCAAAGGGTTTTGCTTGGCATCCTAGATTGTTTTGCAGAGCCTGAGCCTGAGCCCTCGTATCAAATACATGACTGCTGCCCAGTTTCTCAAAACCACTGCTGATTGTGCTGTGGTTATTCCAAAATGGCAGCTATGTGTTGTATGCTGGAAGGAGCTTGACTTGGCGACTAATGCGCTACGGCTGGCTTCGATTTGTCAGGATTGAGAAGAGTTTATATACACGCAAATGGTAACAACAGAACAAGTGACACAAACCAGACATAAGTGAGAATAATGATAAAAGGGTGTGGGCCAAAAGGGGTGGGCTTTCTCACTTCAGGTGTTTCTCGATATAATCACAGCTGTGCTCAGATAAACTGACTCAAAGCAAATGGACAAAGTACAGAGCTCAGTAGTGTTCTACATAAAAAGAGAATGAAGGAATAAGGTAATAGGAAGGAATAAGAGGAGGCTATTCCCAGGTTTAGAGGACAACACCACAGTCACGAGCTGCTAGTGTTCCAGCAGATATGTGCACAGGACAGAACGAGAACGTTTGTATGAAACGTGCAGGTGTTTATGCTGAATACTGTGTCATGTCACTATCAAACCTACTCAGAGTGCATATATACAAGCGTGAGGTGATATTCAGGTGGTAAACGCTTCCCCTGGAGGTTAGGAAGTGAAATACAATGACTCTCTACAACAATAAAAATAACAGGAAATGTTTGTGTTGTTTCCAACAAATACAGTATCAAGCAAATCAGAGATTTATATTAATGCTAATATGTTATCGTTTCTATAGTAACAGCTCGTTTGCAGGATCGTGTATGGTGGACGCTCCACGTAAACAGATGTTAAAATGTGTGTAAATGTTTTCTGCAAGGAGACATGTATAAATGTAACATTTATAGAAGGAGTTGGGAGGCACGGGGGATTAGTGGTTAGCATGTTTGGCTCACACCTCCAGGGTCGGGGGTTCGATTTCCACCGTGGCCCTGTGTGTGCGGAGTTTGCAGTTTCTCCCCGTGCTGCGGGGGTTTCCTCTGGGTACTCCGGTTTCCTCCCCCAGTCCAAAGACATGCATGGTAGGCTGATTGGCGTGACCAAAAGTGTCAGTAGTATGTGCATGTGTGATTGGACACAATGCCTTGTACCCAATGCCCCCAGGGATATGCTCCATGTTTAATCTGACCTTGTAAGCATAAGCAGTACAGAAAATGGATAGATGGAAGGAGTGTCCAGTGTCAGTGCTTTGTAACAGTCAGAGGTAAAGCTGTAACTTTAATCATCAGCACAGAGGAGTTTACACTTTGTGGATTCTCAATAACATGACAAGCTGCATATTTTGCTGTATTAACATTAAGAGAGAAAAAAAGACAGACTGGTTGTAACAAACCACATTCAGGACAGGTGTCAGGACCCACGTGCAAAGGTTTTATTGAAAACAGACCAAACAGCATAAGGTCATACACAGTAATCATCCAAAATGTCAAAACCAGACAGGGATCAATCCGACATCAAAGTCCAGTAGTCAAAACTGAATATCAAAATGTCAAAACCATAGTTAAAGCAGAATAACACAGCTCAGGACTGATAGAAAAATGATAGAAGACTTTGCTGAGACATAATGCTAACTGTCCTTGACCAGAAAGTGTTGATAAGACTGGAACAGGAAGTGGGTTGCTGCTATAATGTAAGTGAGAACAGGAAATAACTTGTTTCGTGGATGTTCCAGAACATTAAATATGATAAAATATGAAAACATTTGATGAGTCATTGTTTAATTATAGATACTTGTAATAATTGACAAATTGTTGTTGTTTACGAGGAATAAAACACTTGAGGACATGTTGTTATAGGAATATAATCAACATCGCGGTGATCACAGTAACTCCTGTGGTTCATTACTTATTAAAGATCATTGTTAAACATCGTAAGCAGTCCATTTTTTTCTGAAATGACCTGATTTTTCACTTCCTCATGAACATGGTCCGCTGTAGCTTCACTTCCCCTCTTCTTCCTGTGTTCGTTCTCTCAGCATCGATTTATTACTCCAGGCACACAGATGTGTTCTGCTCACCGAGCTCTTCTCCGTCCTCATCGCTCAGCCACGTTAGTGCCTCAGGCCTTGTCCTGAACCTAATCTCCCCTGCTCTATTGATGTACACTATCTCCAGCAGAGTGCACTTGCTGTCACCTGCTATCTTTGTAATTCGTTTCCCTGTGCGGGACTGCAGACTTTGATCTGCTCCCAACTTCCGCAGCACTGTTTGTTCTGTTATCTACAGCGTTTTCCAAACTCCAGTGCTGGCTCTGCTGAGGTTAACACACTCTTCGCAGCACTTCCTGCTTCTGCTTCCATTTCCCACTGTCTGGATTCCAGACTTGCTAGCAGGCTTGCAATCTGTGGACAATGAATAAAGCATCTCCTCCACGTTCTCCTTCTCCCACACAGGTACACATTGAACAGGGTTAAAGGGTTAAAACATCACACATATCTTTGGTTAATGACTATAGAGGGCGAGATATGCAGGAATTATAAAATGTAGCACTGGAATAAAGAAAGCAGATGGTTGAGGCCACACTGAGTGCTAACCGTTTAAATCCTGGTGTGACATAGCTGTTTGGTTTACACCCCACGCTGAAGGATCTGATCATTCTGTTCCACTAATGAGATGATTATAGAGCCATTTAATCACAATTACCAAGCAGCGGTGGACTGCAGAATGAGAACGAGTGTCCGTTACGAAAATACGGAGCAGAGGACAAAGGACATACGTGACAAATTCTTAAAGAGAGTAGACAGATGCATTTTTAATTTTATTTAATTTTTTTTTTTTGTTTTTTTTTTTTTTTTTACAATTATTGCTATAAATAAAGTCAGAGTTAATATTGTAGAAGCAGAATAATTGTACAACACTGGATCATAAGCAACCCAACATGAATATTTAGCCAGCAATAGCGAATGCTTAAATGTTATGAAAAGTCAACCGACAGACGTAACGGAAATCATTGATTCTTCCGAAACTCAATCGGATCGTAAGGTCCTTAAAAATTTCCACGTGTAGGTCTTTTGTAGGTCATTTACATTTCTGCCGTTTGGCAGAGACCTTTATCCAGTGCACCTTACTTTTATCTCGTATTTTATTCAACTGAGCAGTTGAGGGTTAAGGGACTTGCTCAAGGGCCCAGTAGTGGCAGCTTGGCAGTGGTGGGATTTGGAGCTCATGACCTTCTGATTAGTAGTCCAAGGTCTTAACCACTGAGCCACCACTGACCTGAGCTGCTAAATGAACTATGTATCACGTATATTAGTCAGAGTCGAAGCTCTTTATTGGCATGTACATACACACAAAGGGTTCTTACTCGCTGGAAGATAACACAACATGCATCCAGTATGCAATGTAGAACATGTCATGTGCAAGGATTGTGTCCAATAGTGCAGAACAGTAACGTGTTTTGTACAGTGATCTCGTGTTTTAAATGTTTTAAGTGTTCCTAATGAGTTTATTGAGCCACCAGCTGGATTGGGCGTAGAATTTATCCTTAGAAATGATGATTATCATGTACTAGACATTAGCTTCTAACATTCTAATGCAGCATAGAGCTGATATATACAGAGCAGATATAATCAAGTACAGAGAAGATATACGTAAAAAAAAATGGGACCAAGTACTGAACCCTGGTAGACACACTGTAGTTGATGTAGATGTTTTGTGCAATGATTAATAATATTCTAGAGCTGGTTGAAAAATACCAACATCACGCCTGTAAATAACTTCTCTATAGTCAATAGAACCACACTATATCTTTATAAATATCACAGAAAACACATATACCATAATATACAGCTGGCATGCCTGACAGTTCACACACAATAACCATAAATTCAATTCCAGCTCTATTATTGCGTAATTTTAATAGGCTGGTTATGCCGGCCACAAGTCAAGCACTCTGTGAATCTTTCAGCTAAACGATTCTGACAGGCCAATGCAGATGAATCAATAATAGGCTGTGGATATCCCAGGCTCTAATCTGTCAGGTCAGGGTCCAAAGCACAAAACACACCACATCAAGGAATTCACTGTGGACTTCAGTGCATGGCTCAGCCAGACAGCATGCTATCCACATGACCACCATGCCACTCTGAGTGGCTTCCACAGGCCCTCGAGGCGGTACACAGGTAAATAAAGAGGGTGGCTAAACAGACAAAAACAAGTTATTCAGTGAAAAAATGATATTTGCATCATTAAAATCTGAACAGTGTGGGCGCTAACCAGTGATGGTCCATGCTCTCCTGACACACTGTTTACCTTTTCAGCAAAGTAACATTTGAGAAGAAAATGAATGAGACAAGGCAAGACAATTTCCTGATAGATTTCTGCACCAAGCTCAGTTGGTGATGAACTGCACTCAAACAATGTGAGTCATGAGCTAATGGTGCCATATGACAGCCATGAAAGATGCTCAAGGCTTCACACTTTTCAGGTCTATTCAGTGGAACCCCTGAGGATACATCATGGTTATTTTTTTAATAACCGTGAATTTAAAATATTGTTAAATATTGTCTTTAATAACCATGATTGAACATATCGAGTCCACAAGTTAATAGGCCAATTTAAGGATAGAATCTATATCAAAATACACCATTCATTGAAACATTTTAAAGTGAGCAAACACAAAGACATGTTGGAGTCCTCTAGAGCAAATTCTCAAAGTAAATATACTATTTTCCTTGTTACTGCTAAATAAAAATGACTCTGGAGACCACATGTTATGTATGGAGAGGTATTAGTGTCTCACCCGGGTCAGGGCACCGAGTTTTTAGAAATATGTTTTCTTGACGTGTCTGTTAGTAAAGTTGTCTGAGGACGTCTGTAGTAATTCTGATCGATACACAGGGGAAAAAATCATTTCTGTATAAAACACAGAGATAGGCACGTCTTACACATGCGCTAAAAAGATCACATGACCATAACATGTGTGTAGTCTGTACCTGTGCAAGGAACTGAAATACTTACCTAAAAACCCCTGTAAACCTCACTTCTCTGACATTCTTTCAAGCATCGTCTAGATTTTCTTGTCCTGGATTTTATCCATTAACGTTGCTTCATTTTGGTATTAGTAAGAGATAATAGCACTTCTAGTGTCACAAATCCAGGAAGTCAGATGTCTTTATGGTAAAACAACTGATAAGCAAAGTCAGGAAAAGAGCAATGTCTCCAGTCGTCGAACGTGGAGCAATGTCCTCAGCGGGGCAGGGTGGGGTGTGATGTCGTCAGCTGGGCAGGGTGTAGGACGATGTTGTCAGCTGGACAGGGAGGCAGAGCAACTTTCTCTGTAGGGCAACAATACGATCCCTAATCTTGGCTTGTGCCCCGTCCCCTGAGCATTGTTTTCACGGATAGCATTGCAGAGATGTTAATGCAATTGCTTGCCAGTTTTCAAGCTCATCCTGATGCTGCTTGAGTAGAAGGACCTGTGCTGCCAACTCCTACCTCAGCACCACCAATTCTCCTTCATCCATATTCAGGCCAAGCATCCTGTCACAAACGCAGGGAGTTGGATGCAAGTGCAGAGTGTCTTTAATGGTAAATCAACTAATAAACAATTAAAGACAACAGACTAGACTAAGGCAAGACAAAGCAAGGGAAACTCAAAAGGAACATAAAAGCTGCTCACGGTGCAATCCCATGAACAACGTGGGGCAGAGAGAAAAGGAAGAAATTCACAGTGTGAGCGTGACACATTCACGGAGCCTTTACACGGAAGAAGAAGCACTAAAAGTATTTTCATACCAACCTGTCAGCCTGCATATACCTTACCTGCCATTATTTCTACAAGTCACTGAATAGAAATGAAAATACTGTGTAATCTTTCCAGATGCAAACACATGTCCATAAAAAAATTCCTACATGTTAGATGGGACACAAATCTAGTCCAATCCAATATGGCTAAAGATGAATTAGGAGCTCAATTGAACTTTAGATTCCCA